CCTGGAGCTCGGGCGCTGCATGTTTTATCTTGAAGCGAGTGATCATTCGTTTGTTGTTGTATGCTTCCGCTGTAAACATCATACCTGCGGAGGACACGTGCGTGGTCTCCGCCGCGAGTGTTGCCCCCTCCCCCTGAAGGGGGCCAGTGGTCGCAGATACTCATGGAAGCGCTTAACTCAGGGCCTCTATACCAAGCACGACGGTGTGACAGTTGACGTCGGGCATTGGTCAATCGATGTCGAGGGCTGAGTTAGTTTCGGAGTTTTTGTTTGTCCCTCTTTCTCTCGTTCCTTGTGTGTGCGTGTGGTCTGATGTTCAAACAATCCCCTCCCCTCGTCCACCAAGGCTTTCGGCGTCGTGAGTTGTCCAAAGCGGGGCCTCCGGCCCCCTTCCTTGGGATCGGTGTCTTGTCGGGGGTCTGTGGATCGCCCGTGGCTTCCACAAGGATGTGAACAGGGAGTGAGGAGGGGATGAAAGGGTCCAGTGTTCACAATGTTCGGCCCCCCACATCACGGGAGGAGGAGGCGTTGGGGGGCTTCATGTTCCATTCCTTCTCTTTATAAGCAATTTCTCCCCGTCGCACCCCGAGGCAAGTTTTTAGGGCGGGCTGGGCGTTTCGCGTGAGACTTCCTCACCACTGGTGACCCTGCCGCTTAACATTGACAACATGTTCACAAATGAAGGACGGGTCGTTTAAAAAATGTGGTTCTCGCCCCAGCGCCGTGCACATTCGTGTTAAACAATGGCAGCAGTTTCACGAATTCGGGGCGGGACGTTTTCAAAATGTTGCTATCGCCTTTGCGCCGCGCACACTCTTGCTAAACAGTTGCAAGCGTATCACGGGTTCCCCTGATCGACATACAATAAATGGTGTTTTGGAAGTACTCACGATCTCGAGGGCGCAACAGTTACGATGATTCGCGGAGTTGAGGTCCCAGGAATGGTTTTCTGGCACGATTCAGGATCGCCAAGACGCAACAGTCAGGTTTATCCGTGGCGTTGGAATACCGGGAATACTGTTCTGGCATGTTCCAAGGCCTTCAAACGGTTGTCTTCCAAAGAGGCAGGCCCCTCTGTGGACATGAGCCGTTGTAAGGGCCTATGAAGAAGGAGTTTTTGGGGAGGGTTCATTCCAACATCGTTGGTGACTCTTGGGTTTACACTGGTCCTCCTCCTCCTCCTCCTCCTCCTCCTCCCGTGAAAAATTCTGGTCTGATTGTGGCCAAAATATCAGAGGGAGAGGGAGGAGGATACCTCTCGCGTGAGCGACGGACTCTGGCGGAGCAGGTGGGGAGGAGGAGGAGGGGGAGGAGGAGGAGGAGGACGAGGAGGAGGAGGACGAGGAGAAGGAGGAGGACGAGGAGGAGGAGAGGCCAAGATCGTGGGCCATCCCTCTGGAAAAGTCGCCCCCTCTGAGCTTTCCCGGGGCGCGGTCTGGCCATAATCTCGAGGCGAGGCACGGCCGTGGCGACGAGGAGCCCCCAGGGGGCCCAGAGTTGCCCCCCAAACAATATCCAAAAACATCGATCCTCCCTCCTCCCCCTCCCGACCCAGGGGGGGGGGGCAGGCGGATGAGGGATTGCTAATTACGCCACTGGGTTAGAGGGTCAGGAGGAGGAGCAGCAGAAGGAGGAGGGGAGCAGCGCGGGAAAGGTGGCGAGGGGGGAAGATGAGGAGGAGGAGGAGAATGAAGACACGGAGGAGATGGGGATGACGGGGGGGAGGATTTGGAGAAGGTGGTGCCCTGCCAAACCGGATATTGATGATGATTCATTTTCTACAGGGTGTCTTCTGCATCCTTGCTCCTTCGCCCCGTCTTATCCCTGAGCCCTGGGCCACGGGCTTCCCACTCCGGCTTCAAGTTGGGCGTCCCAGGGCCCTGCATCTTTACCTCGGCGGCGAGCGAGGGGGGAAATGAGAAGGAAAAGGCCTTCTCAGAAGGTGGCGGGGCTCCTCCGGAGCCCTCGAACCTTCCGAAAAGTTTCTGTCAGTCTTCGGGGAAGGCTTAGAAAACTTCTCAGAAGGCCGGGGTATTGCCGAACCTTCTGAGAATCAAGCGATCGCCAACATGGATCAAGGGGACGTGGATTAGCGACGAGACCCGTTTCCATAGGAAGTCGCGGATTTCTGCCGCCGAGCGAGGCGGCACCAGCTGCATTTTGGGGAGGGTACCTCCCCCGAACCATGGATTTGGCGACCGCGCGCCAAATCCATGGATCGCTAATCCATGTTTGCGCGCCCCCGAGAGAAGGCCCTCTCCTTGCGACTCCCCCCCTTCGCTCGCCGCCGAGTGCCGCGCACCGTCGTGATCTGGCCGCACCGCAGCAACGCAGGAGGAAGGCGCTCTCCCATCCCTGTGGACCTCCCCGCCCCCGCGGCGCCGAGCCGGGCCGAGGGGCCCCTCCTCAAAGCGGAGAGGGATATCCGCCGGCGCCCCGGCCCGCCGCGACCCGGCAGCCGAGCCAACGGACTGGCGGCGGGGGGGCGCCTCCTCGCTTCTCAGCCCTCAGGGGCAACGACAGGGGGGGATAGGCACAGGGGGAGATTGCGTCGACCCCCAATCGCCCGTCGATCGCCGGTGGGGGCCCGATAGCCCCAACCTGCCCAGGGAGGTGCGGATTCTCTATCGGAGGCCCATCGCCGATCTATCGGCGATGTTTCGCCGATTCCAGGCCCATGCATCCCGCGTATGCCAGTCCCCCCCCCATCGTTGTCCCTCAAGCCCCCCCGAGACCAGGACAAAGACTGTCCAGGACATTGGCAAGTCGGACGCCGTTTTCCTTCAAAGTCGGATGTTGGTCGTCCAGTGCATGCTTCTGTTGCTGCACTCGGTCGTCCCCAGGGCATTGTTCTGTTGCTGCACTGCAGGATTCGGGTCTTTGTCCGGACCTGGGGGAGGTTTTGCAGGCGTTCATGGCCTCCGTCCAGGTTTGTGCCGGGAGTGTTGCAGTGCAGTTTTTTTGTCCGTCCGCCCTTTTGTGCAGTGCAGTTTTTTATTCGTGTCGCCGTTGGGCAAAATTGGTTTCGAGGTATGTTGGATGTCCCGGTTCAGCGTGTCCGGATTTCGGGGGTCCTGATCTTCCAGGGAACGCGAATATGGACGAGGTCGGTTCGGGGAGGGTGCCCACATGATTTGCTCGGCGCGCCCCACAGGGAGCGGGTGCCCCTCCTCCCGCTTTCGGAAGAACAGTGCCAGCCAGAGTGGACCCCAAACGGTTGCGTCTTGTACAGTCGGTTCGGGGAGGGTGCCCTCGTGCTTAGTACACCCTGGAAACGACAGGGCCGTTTTCTTACCAGTTCCAATGCCGTTTGTATTGCCTGTTCCGACGCCGTTTTTGTTACCGGTTCCGTCGCCGTTTTTGTTGCCAGGTCCGGCTCCAGTTTCAATCCTCGAGCCGTTTTTGTTGCCGTTTCTGGTCACCGTTTTTTTATTGTCCCGTTCCCATTTTCAAGAGACACATTTTTCGGAAACGGTGGAAACATTGCCCTGCCGTTTCCGGGGCCCCCAAAGCCCTCGTGGTCTCCGAGTCGTTGGGATGTTTTTGCGCATCCCAGCGGAGGTTACCCTCGAATGCTCTTTCAGTTTTGGCCAGCGGAGGGTCTCATGTTCTCGAAGGATGTTCTTCTGTCCCAGGTCCAACTGTACCCCTCCTCCTCCGCTTTCGGAGACCAGTGTCAGCCAGAATGGACCCCAAGCAGTTGCGTCTTCTACCCTCGCTGTGCAGCCTGTGCGGTGATGCCACGTGAAGAGCGACGGGAAAAAACAAAGGGTCGTTTGCGCCGACGGTGGCGCGTAAGTTGCCCGCGTAAGGTCGCGCGTAAGCGCCCTTGTCTCCAGCGCAGCGTGCCGCGCTGGCGGCCCCGCGTAAGCCGCCGCGTAAGGTCGCTACGCACCTCGCGTAAGAACCGTTTTTGATCCTCGCTCATCTGTGTATGCTATTGTGTGTAGATGTGCACATGTGTATGCATGCATAACCCATTTATGTGTGCATAGATGTACATACACGTATATCTGAGTGGGGGACGTGAACGGTCATTCATTGTGCCTGTTGGTTGGAGTGTGGTTCCGCGGTGGAGAGTGCTGTTGCGCTGTTGTGTTTTTTCTGCCCGCAAAGCGACAGCTGTAAAACAGTGGGCACTGAGCCCAGCAGAGCACGGCGACAGCGAGACCGTGGGTCTGCAGCGCGGGGCGAGTCGCGCGGGCAACAAAACGCGGGGGGGGGGGGGTCGCACGACGGAGGGGCACAAAGAGTCCGAAAACCCAGGTGCCAGGCGGCCCAAAAGGGAGATGCCTGGACAGAGACCTGGAGCCTCGGCGGCCCCGTGGGCCAGAGGCCGCAGAACAGATTAGTCGGAGCCTGAATCAGAGGAAACCTCGACAGGTTTCCTCAAAGTCAGGCTCGGACTACTCTGTTCTGCGGCCTCTGGCCCATTGGGCCGCCGAGGCTTCAGGTCTCTGTTGCGCTGTTGTGTGTTGTTTTTTGTGGTTGTTGCCGTCGTCCCACACGCGACCTGGTCCGCGACCCACCCGCGACCCGCACGCGACCTACCCGCGACTCACCCGCGACCCACCCGCGATCCACCCCGCGACCCACCCGCGACTCACCCGCGACCCACCCGCGACCTGCCTGCGACCCACCCGCGCGACCCACCCCGCCCCCGCCCCCCCACTCTTATCCGCAACTGCGGGTTGCTACAGTTGGTTTTCCTTTTTCCCGGAGGCGGAAAGTGGGGATGGGGCAGGGGGAGCGAGGGAGGAGGATGAGGAGGATCGTCTTCGAGGTTCGAACACCAGGAACGGATGAAGGTCTTGTACCTCTTCCTCTCCCCTTGGTGGCGTGAGCCTCTCGATGGCTTGGATGGTTGCACGTTTAATGTCGGGTGAACCCACCCAGAGTACAGCATGCTGTGAGACTCTCGAGGGCTTACATGACTAACCCCTAACCCCGGATAACGTAGCACCCCGCAATTGCGGATAAGGGTGAGGGGGCGGGCGCAGGCGACGCGGGCGTCGAGCCGGCGGACTTCGTGGCCCTCATCTTCCCTGTCGATGGCGCCCTCCTCCTCCTGCTCCTCCTCCTCCTCTTCCTCGTCCGCGTTCTCGTCCTCATCGTCGTCGTCGTCGTCGTCAGCCTCCTCCTCCACCTCCTCCTCGTCCTCCTTTTCCTCCTCCTCCACCTGGAAGGAATTCAAAAACAGCCCGCCGCAGGCGCCGAAAATTTCGATTGTACAGTGAACGCGGTTTGGGTCGCGGGTGGGTCCCAGGTTTTCCGTCTGGAGCGAATGCAAAAGAAACCCGCCGCAGGTGCTCAAAATTTTGGTTGGCTTGTGGGGTGGGTCGCGGGTGGGTCGCGGGTGGGTCGCGGCGGGTCGCGGGTGGGTCGCGTGCGCGGTTTGGGTCGCGGGTGGGTCGCAGGTCTTCCACTTGGAACGAATGCAAACGAAACCCGCCGCAGGCGCCGAAAATTTTGGGTGGCTCGCGGGGTGGGTCGCGGGTGGGTCGCGGGAGGGTCGCGGTGGGTCCGGGTGGGTTGCGGGTGGGTCGCGGGTGGGTCGCGGGAGGGTCGCCGGTGGGTCGCCGGTGGGTCGCCAGGGGGGTCGCCGGTGGGTCGCCAGGGGGGTCTCGGGGTGGGTCGCGGGCGGGTCGCGGGGTGGGTCGCGGGTGGGTCGCGGGTGGGTTGCGGGTGGGTCGCGGGGTGGGTCGCGGGGTGGGTCGCGGGGTGGGTCGCGGGTGCGTCGCGGGTGGGTCGCGGGTGGGTCGCGGGGTGGGTCGCGGGTGGGTCGCGGGGCGGGTCGCGGGTGGGACGACGACCACAACAAACAACGAACAACAAACAACAACAAGAATCCGCATCGCGGAATTTAATTTCAGCCACGCGCCGAGGGATAGTGAATGAACGTTCGGTTCAGCCCTCTCACTCTGATAAAGTATACCCCCCTTAACCCCTGAGTGGTTCTTATCCCCGGGTCAGACAGATTTGAGTGCGGGGGGGCGGCGAGGCCGAACTTGATTATCGCGGGTGGAATTTGCGAATCGAAATTGTTTTCTCCGTATGTTGACTAGCAAGATCATAAAAAAGCTGAGCATGGGCCATGGGGTTCTCACTTTCTCAGCCTTTCCCGAGTCAGGAACATGTGGCAGGGCCATGCAGGAGGACAGCTTTGTGCGAGGATCTAGGTACACGAGCGCCCAGAATCATCATCATCATCATCATCATCATCATCATCATCATCACCACCACCATCACCATCATCATTTCAGTTTTTTTGTTGAGTCTGGGGAGTCTCGAATTTTGCTGGCGATTTCGGGTCTCTGCACTGGCGTGAGCGGCGCCTTGAAGACAGTCTTCAGGGGCCTCGAGCATTTTTTCCCCTCCTGGTGCTTGTGGGCTCTAAGGGAGGGGCTGTGCTCAGGGGGCCAGTGCCATAGAGTTTCGCCCTGTTGCTTGTCAGCTTGCTCGGGTGGTGAGCTAGGACGCAAGCTTCACATGTTGGCCGAGACGGGGGAAGCCCACTGACCCGAGTTCCATGCTCTAGCATGCTCGCTGCCATGTTATGTTGCCAGCCAGGGAGCTCACATGGGTGTATAGAGAGGGAGTGAGAGAGAGAGAGCATCACCATCACCATCATCATCTTCATCATCATCATCATCACTACCATCACCATCACCATCACCACACCATCATCCTCCGCTGGGAAATATTTTTGTTTATTATCATCGTTTATCACCCCCGATACCCCGACATGTATTGCCCCCCCCCAGGGGTTTAATATCACAGGGTGTCGGTTACACTTGTGGTTTCGAGGAGCCCGCTCAGAGTTCCTCATTGATCCTGCTTTTCTTCCCCCTCCTTCTCCTCCTCCTCCTCCTCCCAGGAGGAGTAGATGGATGAGTTTGGCGATGAGAGCGACGGAGGCCGAGAATCGGGGATCGAGGGTCGAGATCCTCCTTCCCTTACCCCCCCCGTTGGAATGGACAAACAAGAAGTTGCATCTACAACAACTGTCTTCCATGGCGCGCCTCCTGCGCCGCTCCCAGCGCCTCGCGCGTCAGGGGAAAGGAGGTTCCTGCGCCGCCCCACGAAATCTGCGCAGGCCTTCGAACAGTTTATGTATGTGCAGTCTTGTTGGTTCAATCCTCTCTTCCTCATCACCTTTGAATAGTGCAATATTTGCTGGAGCCCACTTCCCCTCAGAGGGGGAAGCCAGCTGTTTTCATTGAGCGCCGTGAGAAGAGGGGGTGGGGTAAGTTTGATGCCAATGTCAAAAGATCGAGATTCCATCTTGTGTGTTTTAGGGGGGGGTCCAGGAGGCTTCTCGTCGCCACGGCTAGATCCCCATCGATATCATTTGTTTCCAACGGCTTCTGTGCGTGTGTATGTTGATGTGCCTCCAAGGGCTCTGCGGAGGTCTCCTCTGAGGACCTCTGTAGACTTTGAGAGACCTCCAGGTACCTCCTCCTTCTTCTCTTCCTCCTCCTCCTCCTCCTCCTCCTCCTCCTCCTCCTCCTCCTCCTCCCCCTCTTCTTTCTTCAAGTTGTTGAGTTCTTGGGAGACAGGCTTCCTGGGACCCTCTCTGGGGCCTCTTGGGCCATGATGGGCCTGCATTGGAGACATGTTGGGCCGTCTTGCGCACTACGGTAGCGGATGATGCTGTGACATCTCAGTCTAGCAAGCCCGAAGGATTTGTTCGATGTTTTTTTCCCCAGAGCCTCAGAGGCGGCCCGAGAGGGCCGAAGAGCGCCGAAAGAGCTTCTAGCCAAGGTGCTGAGGACCCTTTCGGCCGCTGGAGGGGTTCTTGTTTTCGGGCCGTTCTCTAAGTCCAGGTCGGAGAGCCCGTTCGTGGCCGAGGCTCGCCGTGGATTCGGCATCCCCTGTGGTAGCATGAGGACTGCAGGCAGCTTCGCGATGGTGGTCCTGACATCACCGGAGTCACTCCAGGGAGGGGAGGACAGCCACCCCAGGAGACCTCTTCATACACGCCGACAGGGTCGGGCCCCATTTGCTCCTTCCTTCTGTACGGACCGCCCTTCTTTCCTTGATCCTTCTATCCCCCTCTGCCTTCAGTCGCCGACGAACTAACTCACGTTGACCTCGCGTCCCTCGTACTGCAGCGGTTACTGGTGCGAATCCCCAGACTGGCATCTTCTCTTGCGCATCGTCTTAATCCTTTTCCCTTGTCGTATCTCTCTCCCCCTCCCCCTCCTCCCGTCCCCCCCTCTTTCTTTTCATCTCGTCTTCTCCTCTCATCCCTTCCTTCCTCGCTCTACTCGCATCTACATAGCCCCTTCTACCTCCCCCTCTGCTTTATCTCTCTCTCTCTCGCTTGTTATGTGTTGTTGGCTCTCTCTCTCTCTATGTATATATATATATATAAAAGTGATATGCCTCGTCATGATCGTCAGCGCATTCGTTATCAGCCTACCACTTTCCACGTCCTTTTCCGTTGCTGATCCGGCTTCTCATCTGCTTCTCGCGCTCCTCCAGTCTCCCTGAGCGCAGGGGTGCCAATGCTGAAATGTCCATCGCTGGCACGAAGTGGGTGAGTCAGCCATTCCAAAGGCTGTGGGCCAAGATTTGCCATGATCATCCTTTCGCGGGGGAGATTTCCATAGATGCGCGGATCGGCCCTTTTGATGCTCTTGCTGTGGTGCAGCGGAAGCGTTCTGCCTGGCATGGCGAAGCGAGGGAGCTTATGGGAGGCCGCTTGGTCCTTGGTCCGGCAGACTCCGGGGCGGCACACTGCGCTTGGCACCGCTGGGGCGTGTGCTCTGTTTCTCGGCAAGGAGCACCAAGGAGCGTGTTTCGGGTCATCTTGGGGAGCAATACACGCACGAAGCCGAACAATGCACGGGGTTAAGGACGTCCGAGCGGTGTCGAGCGCAGGTGGGCGATGGGGTCGCAGGAGCAGTTGCAGCAGGCTGCCTCGCGGGGAGGATGCTGCCGCCGAGGCCGAGGATGCAGCGCCCACGAGCGCACGCGCGTCGGGTGCACAGGGCGCGCGCACGCAGGGGCCCGGCGGTCTCCGCGAAGTTCTCTGCAGGCCCCGGGCCGGGCAGGCCCAGGATCGTCGGACGGGGCTGGGACGAGGGTAACTCCGTTCCAGGGCGTTCCAGAACGCTCTCCTCGACCCTCCTCCTCTGGGCGCCTGGTGGCCGGTCGCCCGAGGCCGCTTCCCCAGAGATCGCCAGCGACTTGCGCGGGCTGGCCCGGCGCAGCGCAGCGCCCAGAACGCGCTCAGAGCGTTCCAGAACGCTCTGAGAATGCCGCGGCGCCCGCGACAGCCCCCAGAGCCGCCAGATCTCAGAGATTCTCGGTCTATTGGGCGTCGCGTCGTGGTGGGGGGGGATAGATGGGGAGGGGCAGGGAAGGCTGCAGAAAAGGGGCCCTTTGGGGCCCAGAAGGGGGCCTCCAAACCCCGAAAAGTGCACCTCTCTCCCCCTACTTCTTGACGTTTCGCGTATCCCACTGGCCACGGTCGGTCCACCTGGCTCTGGCCTCCCCTGTACTCTTGCAGTCCCGTGGGCGGTTACGGCCCTGCATTCAATTCACTTCGCAGCTTGCAGACCCTGGCCGCCGGCCACCCTGGCGTCCGCCACCCCATGCAGCTCGTTGCATGCGTGCACCCCTGGCAGTGCAGCCACCCTGGCAGCCACCGCCTTGCATGGACGCTGAGTGTGCGCTTTCTGCCCCTGGCCCTGGCATCCACACCCAGTGCAGCTGGCAGCTCACTTGAGGCGCCGGTTAGGCAGCTTAGGCAGGTTAGGTGCGCGGCTTTAGTTTGCTTGTTGTCAATTAGTAGGCCCGCGCCCCGGACTTTCGACTCGCCGCTTGCGATCTCGCCTGCGGCCGCGACCAAAAAAGCGTATCCCACTGGCCCGGTGTCGAGACCCTCCATCGTTCCTTTGGCTGCCTCGCCCTTGTCCGGCGCCTACCGTGGTTGGACGCTCGGAGGATTTTTTTTTTTTTTTTTTTTTTTTTTTTTTCTCTGGGGCTTTGG